CTTAATGCAGCCTTAATTCAGCCTTAATTCCTTAACGCAGCCTTAATGTTGTTTTTGTAGACTTAGGCCAAATAGGAAAAATCAACCCCAGGACCACCAATGACTGATGGTGGATTCAGTCTTCATGATTGAAGTCTCCAAGCAACCTCCGTTTCCTCACATTTAGTGAGCTCCAGGAATTAAAGTCTAATTAGGCCTTAAATCCTCTCTCTGGAAATAGGGCAGGATTAAGGATTTCAAAGGGGGGGGGGGGGGGATGGGGGGGGGGGGGGGGGGGGCTTTTAAAAAGGGGGGGGGGGGGGTTCCCCCATCTGATTGGTGCGGGCTGGCTTGGCCCACGACAAGCCTGCCGACACGAAAAGTGCATCATGTCCAAGAGTGCATGGTGACACAAGTCAAAGTCAAACGAGACACGGAAACTCCCAAAATTAAATACAAACAAAAAAACATTAAGAAAAGAAACACTTGCAACTACTGGGCTGACGACTTTTCGTTCCACTTGATTCTTTTGCGCTGTGCCTTGACGATATCCTGAAGCTCGGAAATGCTTCGCTCAACCTCCCAAGCGATAAACGAGTAATTAAGAGTGAGGCTCTCGCACAACCCCAGCAAAGGTCTAATAAAGGCCACTAACTTCGTTGGTCGTTTGACCCCTGACAGCCTTTGAACCAGCAGACCTCATTGACTCATTGCGGTCTTTTGGTGTGTTTCTATGTGCAAAGATGTGCAAAGCATATTCCAACAAACCGTAACAACAACTGCTTCTGGCGGACGATCCGTCCGTTGGTTTCGGTTCTCAAACTGACTGCTAGGTGGCGAACGCACCAGGCTAGTGCTGAGTGCGAGCCATTTTTGGAGCACTTCCCACTGCGGCGAGATGAATGCAGCACCTCATCGTTCAAGGGAGCTGCAATTTCTCCAGAGTGGCACACCTGAACGCCGTTCCCGCGGGTCTTACCGCCGGTTCCCGCCGGTCCGAGGAAGGGACCCCCAAATGGGACGGTGTAGGCGGGACACTGGGCAGTGCTGGTTCACCATCGTGCACCCCACTTACACTTACGAGAGCAGGACAGAATGGCACTACCAGAGATGGTTTACACCCCACTAGAGATGGCACTACCAGAGATGGTCCACTTACACCCCACTTAGAGAAGGACGGATCAGAATGGCACTACCCAGAGATGTCTCTCCGACAGAATGGGGTCCGGATGGCGGCACCGACGACGACTGGGGGGTCGCGGGCAAGCGCGCATGCTTGCGCTCTGATGGCCCACTGTAGGGACACCATGCAGGCATAGGGCCCGAGTGTTGATTGGGGATGTTCATGGCGACACCCCAAGCGTCGCGTCGTCGTGGCTGGCTTCTGAGTCGGGCGTCTTCGGTGTGGAACACCACAGGGCAGTCCTCTGACCCCTGGTCACAAGGGTGTGAAATCCAGTGGTGCAAGTGGTCCTTCTGCAAGTTTCCAGGCAAAGGATCAACACAAGAAGTGGAGTGGTCCCCCCCGATTCTAGAACCACTTCCATGATGATGCCCAAACACTCGAAATGATGGAGTATTTACCTCTACATCGACCTCTGAGGTAGGTTTCACCGAAGCTATACGTAGTATGACATATGACATATCATACATGATGTAGGTCCTTTATCTTCCTCCTTCATCTCGCCAGAGACGCACGGATTTCCGGGCCGTCAGACAGTGAGCTCCCCAGTGTGTAGCACAGGCATGACCGGCACGTGCCGTCCCTGGACACATCCGCGGGTCCCGTTGGGCTTTGGAAAACAACACGTGCCAAGGGGAAGTAGGACTCCTCTTTGGAATAGGACAGGTGTCAATGTCTGATTCAAGTATATCTAGTAATCTTGTTGATATATCTAAGACAAGACAAGCAAAGGGTTGAAGATGGACATAGCGAAGTCTGTCATACATGGACATAGCTCTGGACAAAGCTGGCAATGCTCTCGGCCTTGCAGTTCCAACGAGTGTTGAACATCTTGGAAGGAAAATGACATGTACAGAAGGGAGCTCGTTTTCATTGGTTATTTGATTAACTATGCAATTACAATCAATTACATGCGTCATGAGTGTATTCGGTGCAAAAAAGACCTTTGCAAGAAATACAATTGCAATTGCCGCTTACTGCATGAACATTTGTCACGTTGAATCATATGTTCTACGGTGCCCGATGCGCCTTTTTACTTGTCTATGTCGTTTGGGCTCACTAAGCTGATGAATCTTTCGAATCAAGCTCCCGGCAGTGGGGGTGACGCTGGCCACGCCTGAGGAAGACGCGGGGCGCCGTGCATATATAGATCACATGGAAAGAATAAGTTATATAGACATGTCAAGTGTCAAAATCTCCAACAAAGGTTACGTGACCTTATAGCACCCTACCAGGGTACCTATGGAATAGCCTATAGGGTTCTTCAACCTCTGTTAGCTTGGTCTTAAGTACCTAGGGGAACCTCTCAGAAACATCGAGGGCTTCTCGGCACCTTTGCCCGGCGTCAGAGGAAACCCCCATGGATTCGGCTGTAAGTCCCCCACGGGCGGCTGTGAGTAAAGCAGCTGCAGCTGCTACCACACTGGAAGGCAAATTCGCATCGGGCTCCAGGGCCTGAATCGGAAAGTGTTGCTCCGAGCGATGCCCTTCGTAGCCCTTGTTCCGTTCGTAGCTTCTTGTTCCTAGTGGCAATGGCCTCCAACCTAGCAATGGCCTCCACCTAGTAGCGTCCTTCCACTAGTGACTCACTAGTAGTAATCAACCAGGAGGTAAACCTGAGTTTCTCAAGCGAGCGGATGTTCTGAGCACCCCCAAAAAAACACCTCCGTTCGTTCGGTACCCCCTAAAACACTGCAGAACCGGGGGTAGATAGATATTTGGTGAAACTTATAAACAATTCTGAGGTTTCCCGGAATATCCTTGATGTGTGGTGATGTGATACTGCCTTTTCTGGTATATAGTGGCGCAATTCTTCTCTGGTACTGGTCTTGTACTGATAAGATCTATAGCAGTGACGAATGCAAAGCCTACCGCCTTTCTGATTATTTGACCAAGACCTGCGACACTAAGTCCACGTGGCCGCAAAAACCTCGCCCGAGTCCTGCGCCTCGTGCCCACTCTGCCATGAGCGCACGGAGTGGTCTTGGCTGCGGGAACCACGATCAAAAGCTGCCACATGTGTTCGGTGAAAGCAATGGGACATACCACAGCATGGCAGAAGTTTTCGTGCGCCTTGGTGGTGGGTTATAGTTTGTTTGGCTTGGTTCTGAACGGTTCTTCGTTTGGGAGTCGAAAAATGCGGTGAACACACACACACTTAATTGACAATAAGGGGAGCTCACTTGGGCCTGCGCCCGCAGAACGAATTGAAGAAGGTGCCGTGCAGGAAGGTGCCAAAGGCAGAGTCTTCACTGAAGCCTGGAAACCCAGATCTGGCGTTTTGTTGGCCAAACAAGATGCACCAAGCTCCATCAACTTTGCACAACTGTCTTCAACTTCAGCTCTGCAGGCCAAGTGTCTGAAACGCTCACTTGGTCCTCCTCCATGAAGCTATGTACATGCCATGGTTTCTGTGGCGAGACCGATGGACCGACGTCGTCTTCTGTGGCGAGATCGGACCCACCGACGGTGTGTCGATGTCGTGCTTGGAGTTGGCCGCTTCTGTTCCTTCCAATAGATGCGTTTGAAGAGACCCAAACCCTAAACCATCCTAAACCCGAAACTCAAAGAAAGACGCGGTTCATCGCATTTCCAAGGATTTGATGAAGATATATGAAGATGAAACGCAGTTCTGAAGGCTATTTCAACCGTACCGGTTCCGTTTGGTCGAACGTGCCGTTTTGCACTACCTGGAGCATCTTAGCCACTCGGCAGCGAAAAAGCGCCACAGCCGTTTTTCCGCGTGTACCTCATCAACTGTTTGACACACCACACCGGGCACAGCCAAAAGCGTTTGCTTGTCGTCCATGTGGACAGTCGTCCATGTGATGTTTGTGACAGTCGTCCAGCTTCAACTGTCTGTGACAAACACATCTAGCCCTTTCATCTAGCCTTGCAGTGAGATCTATCACTCTCTTCTTTCCCAAAGTAAGTAGGTTGTCAACAAAATAGCAACACCTGTCTTTTTACGCCGCCAAAGAGTCTTGCATTGGACTTTGCACAAATTCAACGAATTTGGAGCATTGACAAGAGGTGCAGCCGAAAGCTCTGTCTAGCGTCAAAGCAGCATTGGTCAGCCGGTGTCAGCAGTGTCAAGCACTTGAATCATTAGAGGCCATCATCTCACTGGACAAGCACCTGAAAACAGTGTCCGTCTTCAAAAATGGGTTGATCAACCTCTTAGGAAGAAGGGCACGATCTCTATTGTCCGAAGCCAACAGGGTTGGAAAAAAGGGAATAAAACATGGAGAAACACAGAGTACAGTACTATATAGTATACGTACTACTCCAGGCTCTTAGCGCTCTTTCTGCCTGCCAAGCCAGAAAAAACATAGCTGGGCTTTTCAGTGGTAAATCCAATTCACCTGATACACCCCAATTAAATCACGACATGTCTTTGATTGCCATAATCTCCATTGCTCTCCACACCAACCGTGTCAGACCGCCTGTACCCGCCCGGATAGTGCCTGGACCTGGACGGTGGCGGTCGAAGAGCCTCCGAAGATCCGCCACGCGCGAGGGAGGCCTCGAGACGACGCGGTGGTCAAGTACGTGCGCTCCATGGGACATGCCGATCAGGCCAGGGGTGGTGCCAGGGGGTCAATGGGGCGGCACATATTCCATACATCGAGTGTATGGTTTTGTTCAAGATCCAGTCGAAGGCCGCTTCCCATGGACGGTCTATGATGGTATATACCATGGTCTACCACTAGCAGTCACTACTACCAGGACAGGAACGAGTTCGTTACATAGGGGTACTGTAGGATGTGTGGGTGTGGAATTGGGAAAAAAAGAGGTGTCTAAGAGATGATTTGATGATTTCTTGAGATTTCTTGCATCTTGCTGCCAAAATCCTCGGTGTGTTTACCACCCAAAATAGCTTCCACCCAACCCTCCCGGTGCGGTTCCAGCTCATGTCCACCACCGTGCAGAAGGCGGCAGTGCTTTGGCTCTGAGGACATGGCAGTGCTGTTGTGGCAGAAGCTGGTGCATTGGAGGAGGATGCTGCTGAGGAAGCTGCAGGGGCTGCCTTGGCGAGAGGTGCTGTGAATCTCTGGTAGGTGAGGAAACGACTCCGGAAGAGGGGAAAAACCGCGTCTTTGGAGCCCTGCACCTGGAGACGTGTTCCAATAGAAACAACATTGCGATGAGTTCTGGAAACAAAGATGCCTTGCTCGTTTCATGACTTCAAGACGTTGCTTCAGAACTCATCACCAAAACAATTGAGCGCAACAACCTAGGGCTTGGAACTTCTTCATTCTTGAAAATAGGACCATGCCAATGCGGAGAGGGAAACGGCGAGACGCCCTGATAAAAATGGTTCACCTTTGACTAGGCCCAACGTTCTCAAAGACTTTCAATCTAAGAGCCCATAGGCGGGAACTGAATTCTGGGAAACTGCTTGCTGGGTGGATCCCCATGAATCGACTCTTGGATCAGTTCAACGTCTTGAGCCACTGCAAGGATGGTACTAGTGTTCCTAGTAGTAAAGCCAGGAGGTACTAGTAGCGTCCTTGCTCCTAGTAGCAATGCGCTTTGTTCCTAGTACGAGTAGCTTCTTGCTCCTAGTCTTCATTCTTCATGATCCAATACCCAAACACTCTATGGGACTGGCATATTTGCCGATCAGTTGGGGCGATTGAAAAAGGGTTGATGGGGCGGCATATCTTGCAGTCCCAATAGTGTGGGATAATCTAGGATATATACAATCCAATGAAATGTGAGATATATCTCAATGTATACAATCCAATATATCCAATGATAATCACGTATATATATATATATATACAGTGAAATTGAGCCTCTTTGAGATTCCGAACATCAACTTCTTCGTGATCAGATCGACCATTTGAGGGGAACACAAACTGCTACCGTAGGTCCACAGGCTTGTCGATGCTCGTCGCATATTCCATATAGTCAGAGTCCGCAACTAGGTAGCAAAAAATTAAAAGCATGCAACATGATTCATGATACAAGCGATTTGGTCTGGAGACCTAGAGTCTGGGGCTTGATGCTTGCCTTTAAGATCACTGTATTTCACTGTACTTCATGCTTGGTCCTCAGTACTCAGCAATTCAGTACTGCGCCTGGATGGGCTCTCCATCCAGCAATTGGATCACGGATCGTGCAGGCATGGCCTGGGTCGGCTCGGCCCGGGTGCCCCCGACTCGACCGCACCTCTGGCACCGTGGGAACGAACTTCGACGAGGAGTTCGTTCCATGTTCTGTTCCACACTAGCTCGAGCTATTGGGAAACAGGTGGGATGGATGTGATACGGGGATGGCGGTGTTTTTGCTTTCTGCTTGGAAGGAGGACATGGAAAAAAGAACATGATGTGGTGGTGTTACATCGAAAGCGGACAGATCCTTGCGCCTTGCGCATGGAACAACACCTCTTGCACCGTTGCGTGTCTTGAATAACTTGAGAAACTACTCAACAACGTTGTTTCATGTTATTTCTCTTGTCATCTCTTGTCTGAAATGCTGTTTCTGCGATTTTGCCGGATGGCCCGTATCTCGGGAGGCAAATGCCGCAAGGCGGAAGCGACCAAATAGTCAACCTGACGGAGCTCTGACAGCTTTGACTCCGTGGTCTCTATAACCCCGCACATGGCAGGGAAGCGGACGTCGTTTAGGTCGTTTCCCCCATTCGAAGAGGACGCTTTTTTGGTCTCTTTGGGACTGAGTCCATCCATCAGACTGGAATAGTTGCTTACATTGGGCTCATTCTCATTTTCATGGGGTCCAGCCCCTTGGATGGTCTGGGTGAGTTCATCAGCAAAGCCCGTGGCAGAAAAATCGAAGATAAAAACAAACCCCCTGCCTCCTCACAAGCCTCTTGCGCCCGCACTTCGATCTCTTCTTTCTCAGCGACAGGAAGGGGGTGCAGAAAACATTGAAATGGTGAAACAGGTTCCACTGGAAAAATCCACTGTTGAGTTGCTTCAATCTTAGTTTCCAACGGTGAGATACGTGTTTGACGAGCAAAATCGAGCAAAGCTTTTTTCAGGTGATTGAGGGACAAATAAATAAATAAGGAGACACGGAGGCGCAATCAAACTAGACCTAGATATTCTTGGGCCCACCCGAAAAGAAATCTCAGATTCAAAGGCAGATGTGCGTGCTGGGTCTGCGGCAATTTTTGCTCGTGCCTCTTCTGCGATGACCTTCCGACAACAGCTCAGCATCTGCTAGCCTGTAGAACATTCCACAAATGGGTCTTCTCTTGGAAACCCATTGAAACAATATGAACCGATACACCCAAACTCCTTGTGTTCCAGCACATCCGCAGGTTCTGGAGCACATCCACCTCTCTCTGCTCGGCGGCCTCGCCTCCAAGATCCTCTCTTCCCACACATTCACGACCTGAAGCCGCTTACAAACGGAACGGGCGCGGGCGCTTGACCTGGTGACTCCGGCAAGGGAGAGCTGGCCAAACGAAGAAGTGACCAGCTGCCTTGCCCTGACCCTCTGTGGCACTGGAATAGTTACATGAGTTACAGACCCTAATGAATTATATTTCATACACGCATAAGAAAGGCATAAAAAAAGGTGGCTACAAAGGGGTTGAGACAAGAAGGAGCGATCCTCCAACCAATGCTTCCTTCGACTGTATGTCTTCCAGTTGTCCTCCAACCGTAGCCTGTGTGGGAAATCTGACACGAAGCACCCATGGTGATCCACACGTCTATGTCAGGTTGCCTGAGGGATATGTACTGAGTGGTCTTGCAAACAGGTCTCGCAAACAAGGGCCACATGCCCACACCGGCCCACACACCAAACAATTCCACACATCCTTCTCGCCAACCAGGCCTTTTCGCCCTCCATCGCCATCCAATTGGCCAGACGGGAGGCGCTTTACGGTTTGGCGCTTGCTGTGGTTCCGCTCAAGCTGTGGTTGGTCGCTTTCTGTCTCCGGCGTTGGTCGATGTTTCTTCGAGGTTGGTGAAGCCTTGCTGCCTCGCACCGTCCATCCATGTTGGGGATACGGGAACGACGTTTCAAGTCGTTTGATGATATTTTGACCTCACCTTTCATGATCATGAAAAACCCAAGTCCGCCTGCTCTAAGCCAAAAGCACATCAATGTGCAGTTGACTTGAGGTGCTCAACGCTCTAGATTTCCGTGTGCCGAATGGCAATTAAGATAATTATGCCGGAACCGCTGGAACTCCATGAATCCATCTTTTCCGATCTCTAATCGCCACTCATTGACCTGGCAGGTCTCCTGGCATGCAACGGTCTGACCAGCTCGCCTGCTTCCCGCCCATCCCATCCTTTTTCCAACTCGTTCTTCGAACCTCCAACCGGTCGCCCACCGCTCCTTTGGAGCGATCGGACGGTACCCGGACGGCCGTGATTGGCCTCGACCTGCTGGTGTCGGTGTGGACGAAGGATGGACGCAGCGATAGAGATAAAGAGACATAAAGAGACGCACTCCCTGGAACGAACATGGAAGTGGATAAGAAGGATTTAAATGTGTATTTACAGTGTATTTGTAATATTTGTAGAGGACAAGAGTCTTCCTAAGGGCCTTTGTCCACTTCCATGTCAGTTCCAGAGAGTGTAGATGACTATGATGACTGTTGTATATAATTACCAGCATGATCTTGCCTCGGCACGATCTCTGTTCTTCTTTGGGCTCTTGCTCTTGGATTTCTTCTTCTTGCTCCAGCCACTATGGCGCAAGAGCTCTGTAGGCATGTATCTCCTTGCAGACAGGTCGGTGTGATGTTGTTCCAGCCAAGGCTTGGGGGAACTAGTTTTCTCGACTTGCTCTGGCCAAGCTGAGAGTGGCTTAAGTTGGGCCGCCAGTGACTCAGGCACATCATCTTTTGGAATTCCACTCTTCGCCAGCTGGGTAGTTTCTCGAGTTTTCCCATCACTGGGCTTTCCTTCGTCTAGTCCAAGGAGACCTCTTTCCTGTATCTTCCTTGAACTCGACGGACTTGACGACGCACTGCCCTGCTCTTTCTTCGCCTCATCGTCCGGACGGGACATGAGGCTCTGAAGCGGACCCATGGCTGGAGCTCGGATCTGACGCTGTTTGGGGCTCTCAAGTCTCTGGCCTCCAACATCTTCCTGCTCTCCCAAGCACCTGCGCAACGGTCGCAGCGTCCGGGCTGGGGTGACCGGCTCAGCCGGCGAGCCCGCCGGGTACCGGGAGGTCCGGCTCAGCTGAAGCTCGGGAGGTGCTGGGAGTGTGGGAATGGGACTTGGACAAGACTTCACATGAAGACAGCTGGATCTCTCCATGATGGTGAGAAATGCGGTCGGGGTCTGAGCCGCTTCAGCGGCTGAAGCCGGCAGAGCTTGCACTTGCACACGGAAGCTGATGATCCCTCTGTTGATATCCACCACACTCTTGAGGGACACCACTTCAAGACCAGAGACTGACACCTTCCAGCGACTGGTGTCAGGTCCAACCCCATCGAAGCTTGGCCCTGTGACCTCCGTGGCTTCCACCGAGCTGGGGCACCGCAGAATGGATACAGAACTGCGAAGCTGAAGCTGACAAAGTACCCACCAAGCCCTGCTCCCTCTTGCTCTCGATTCCCCAACTTCCTCCGCTTCGGTGTGCCCGGTGCTCTCGATCCGCAATTCGCAGAAGGAAGCCTCGGCCTCGTGCCATTTGGGATGCACGCAAAGACGGGCAGCTTTGGCAAAGACTCGTGTGTTTCGCTTCGTCCCCAACGATGCTCGCCCTCGTTCGGGTGATCCGTCCACCCAGCGAGCATGAAAGTCGAGCTGGCCAGTCCATCGTGCAGTCCACGTGCAAGAAGAAACATCCGAGTCCGAGTCTTTTTGCAGATTGAGTTGTGATTCTTGACCTGAAGTCCCGCCATCCGCTGCACTTGAAAGGGATAAGGTAAAACTTCCAGTGTTAAGCTCTCGTGGTGTTGGAGTCAATGATACCACAAGCTCTGCTCCCACTTGGCAGTGCCACATCTTTGTCACCGAGCACCAAGTGATTGGACTTGGCGAAAGTTTTCGAGACGTTCTAAAGTTTAAGTGAACTTCTTCAGGAAAACCTTCTTCAACGTAGCAGTTCCTTATGGTGGTAGCCCAAGCATTGAAACGGCTTTCGTCCGGAATGACGAAGCCAGGCCTCACACCTTTCAAGGGTCTAGGCAATGGATCTTTCGCTCCAGCGCGGGTGGCACTGCCAGTCTGGTGGCCAATTCCAAGACTCCTCTCTTGCGAGAGGTTTCCAGAGCCGGAATGCACTGGAGAACCTGTGGTGCGCATGTCCATGGCAAAAGAGTGGCATGGCAACAAGGAAGAGATATATATATAATATTGTCGCTGTTTGTCATGCTGCTGAGAGGTTTGGGTATGTGCATAGGACATGTTACAGGTTGGATGACACTTTGACACTGAGTAGGCAGCTCAAGTACAGCACTTTGAGAAAACTGCAGGATTCATGGATCATGGACCACAGGCTGCAAGTGAATCTGGTCCCAATCATCTTCGACGCTTGACCATGCAGGCCACCCTGCCGCATCCTGCCGCCAACTCCAGCTCATGAGGGGGTTGCCCCATGGAAAAACCATAGCGGCGAGTCGTGGCGTCCAAAAGGCAAAAGGAAAAAAACACAGCGAGGCGAGTCCTGTGCACCATCTTCATGCTTCGAATTGGAGTCAAAGGGGTCGTCTGTCGTGGGTCGTCCAGTTCGGGCCAAACCCGTTTTCTGTCCTTGAGTGGGATTCTCCGACGTAGAATCGGCAGAAACAGCCTAGGGTGATAAATATCGAAATTGATGAATTGATCTGACCCTAGGCCTCCAAGTACCTTCTGAGAAGGTGTTTGGGGTGGGTTTGGAGGGTCCAAAGACCTTCTGAGCAGGTACTTGGAGGTGTAGGGTGATAGGGTTAAAAGTATATCGGAAAAAAAAAAAAACCGAACCGACGCCAGTCCAGCTGCTGGGAAGAAGCGACCAGGCATTTGGACAAAGCATACCTTGGGATCCTTGGGGTGATCCTGGAAGGTTACATTTTTGCTATTTGGCTGAACGGCCGTTCCAGCCACACTGCACAAGTGAAACGTGTCTTCAACAAACACCTGGGCCATGGGCCATCAGCTCGATTTCGCATCATTCAAGCCAAGATGAACCGCCACAGCATGAAATGGACCATGGACCATGGATGTGGATCAGGAACACTCTGAAAACCTGGCAAAAAGAAAGAACCAGGTGAACCCCAATACTGTAGTGTGCCAAAGGGATATTAGCTACCACACGTTTCTCTCTTGGTTTCACATGAGCAACCAAGACTCAAGACCAGCGTCTTTTTCGCAACTCCTGGTCAAACCGGTGGGCATGGTGGCGTTTCCTCGGTTTCTCCACATGAACAAGGAGCGACTGGGAAGGAGACTGGGACCCTCACTAAGTCCAACTCCATCGTCAGCGCAGGTGGGACCTGGGAGAAACGCAAAGGATCGCAGCTCAGTGCCACGTCTCAGTGCACCTTCTGCAGACTCCAGGCTAGGCGCTTAGGTTTGTGTGTGTACTGATCTGTGCAAATTGACATGCAGGGCGCCTCAGCAAGCTTTGGCTGCGTCCTCCAAGGACAGGGACATCAAAACACATGTTCAAACCAAGCAAAAGGCTCAGGCTCACCTGACACAACGCGTTTATAAGCACCACCCAGTTCGGGTGGTTGTTAGATGGAAAATACAGATACTGTACATGGATTTGGAGGTCTATATATAAACGCGCCGGTCGTCCATGGTTTCCAGAATGTCATTTCGTCCGTTCCCGTCCTCTCCAACCTTCTCGTTCTGAGTGCGCGAAAGCAAAACCACCAGTCGACATCAAGATAGGCAGGCAATGTGGATGGAAACTGAGGGGTAGGTGCGGTGCGGGACCCCAAAGGGGTGTCTAATGATGGCCCTTCATGAACCACCTCTTGTGGGCCCTGGAATGTTGTTCTTTTCATATGTTTTCCTTGTTTGGCCACTTGTCCTGGCCACTTCGCTGAGATCCGCGACTTCCAAGACCTCAGCAGCTGCTGAGGGTTGCCTCGGTTCAGCGGTCGTTGTGATTGATGGCCCAATACCCAAATCGCCTTATAACTATAATATAATGTGCATCCATATGTCAGCTTGGACATGGGTCAGCTTCCCTAAGACATGAGAATTCCAAACACTGGTCCAAAGGCGGATGAGAAGTTTGGACCATCTCATCCGTGATGTGGGTGTGGACCATCTCAACCAAGCACCCAAAATGGTGGAAATATGTGGAAATCAAACCAGGGCTTTCCACCGAGTTGGTGACAAAGGGCTCCTGCAGAAGGGTTGAAGCAGTGAAGCAGTGATCCAGGTTTATTTAAAAACATTTAGTCATATGCAATGTATCGTGTATCCAAGTTGAATCATTGACATCCAACAACCCAATGAGGCAGTGGGAGGCCCCAATTGAATCGACCACTGTTCCCAGAGAGATCTAGAGGAGTTGAAGAGGTTCCAATTATCCGGCTCACTTAGGCACTTAGGCTCTTCAAACCAGCCCTTTGGAACGAAATCCAACCACTTCCTCCACCCTTCTGGGAGGCGGACCCCACCGCTGCAGGAATCAGCAGCACACCAAGGAATAAAAGCATTCGGCTCAGGAGCACTTCCTCTTCCCAAGCTTGAACGCCCACCTCGCGATCCGCACCAGAAACGAAGCGCCTTTTGTGTCGCACCAGCCGCTGAGAAGAGAAGCTTCGAGGGTTAACAAAGCATCGAGAGGGACCGAACAAAGGCTTACTCGGTGTCAGAAGTTCTGCTGACATATGTGTTTGATGATGCCCAAACGATATGCCTGACATCACCTGACAAAACCCAAGAGAACTTCCTGGAACCCCAGTCCCAACCAGAAATAAATGGTTCTTCCAAGTTCTGGCGCCAGCTTGAGATCCTTGCTAATAGCAAGTGGTTGTTGGTGGAAACATCCATTCATTTCTGGTTGTTGGGCTTTCCAGCTCGACCGGCTCAGCCGAGTCCGAGTCCCGGACGGCCATGAAGCTCAGCGCGATGACCAAGGCCGTCGAGCGCTGGCGCGATCGATGCGAATGCGGTGAGGGTTCTGTCAGTCGATCCATGGGGCCCATTGGGGCCAGGCTTCATTGCAGTGCCTGGCTTTTCTCCACAAGGAACAAAAACAGTTTCAAACATGAAGACTTCATGGAAGCTGTGGGGCGGTGGCATCTGCCATAACATGAACATCGAAATGAAAGCAACAACGTCTGATCTATATCTCCGATATGAGACTATCATAGCATCATCATCTGATCGTAACCGGATCGAAAGGGCGTGTTCAACCTGGCCACACCCGTTTCCGCGTTGCCTGCGGATTGGCCAAGCTCCTGAGAGTGCTTACCACCAGCGTCCAGCGTTCGTGGCTTTGGGATCAATGGGAGCGAAATGGAAAAGCAAGAGGCCCCTCTCTAAATGGATTGGACACATTTGGGAACTGTTTCTATTCTATATCTTAGGGATCACGGCATGTGAGTTTCTATTATGAATTCAATCTCGAGACTTTGGAACCCTCATTCTTTGCTGTGTGGATCCCGGTCGACTGCACAACCCCCCCCTCTGAGCCATATCCCAACATGGTTGCTTCTTTGGAGGTGCAAATGTGGATGCGGTTTTTTTCGGATTCATCGGATGTAGATGATCCAAACGTCCCAACCGGCAAAAAGGACGGATCGAGTGACCGAGTTGACGTGGCTCGACGTCGAGCGACGGTCGGGTTGGTCTGGTCTCGTTCTCGAGTTTAACGCAAAGAAGTGGATGGAGCCACGTAGAACCAGAGTAGCCAAGGCTTCGAAGCAAAATATACCAAATCATTAGGAAGCCAAGTGCAAAAAAAGAATATCACCTCTCAAAATAGATCTTGTGGTAGCCAATGTAAACAACGTGTAACATGAACTGATGATTTCGCAAATCTTTTGAAGGTGGCCAAGCATTGCAAGACAACCGCAAGTTGCCACAAGATCAAGATCTCAAAAACTGCAATGCGTATTTTTCTCCTCAAGCAGGATGGATGGATTGGATGGGCTTAGGTGATTTTGTTTGCTGAACTTGCTGGTTTACTGGGCCCTTTCAGTTCCTGAGCCTTCTCTATTTCCCCACCCTCTTCGAATCAAGCGAAGTTGTTTAGTAAAATCATTGGGACGCAAGCTTTGTGCATTTGTTCATTTTTGGTTTGGATGGAGTTTTGTGTTTTTTGGACACAAATTGGAAACACCATCGCCGGGATTCTTTTTTGGAAGGCTCACTTGACAAAGTGGGCTCAAACAAATGGCCGTGTCGGCAAGTTTTCCCTGCAAAAAAAACGGGTGCCAATCCCTTTTTCTTGAACAATTTGATGTTCAGGGCCAACCCCCATTTACAGACAGCGTGGACAAAATATATAGACCTACTCCAACCCCCCCCTCAACCCTTCACCAGCAGAGATTGTTCTATAACACAATCATCTCCAAAAATCATACTCAAGCATCCCCCTTTTATTTCCTGTCGATCATCAGTTGTACCGTTCTACCCTGCTGGGGTCCCTCACTTCACAAAGCTCTGCAAAGAGCTGCTGGTTGCCTCGTTGGCACCTGGCGGTCGACGTCTGATTCGGTAACCAAACAGTCTGATTCGGTAACTATGATTCGGTAACCAAAACCGCTGATTCGGTAACCAAAATTACCAGAAAACCAAAACCAAAAACATTTCCAAAAGAAGAAACTGATGACCCGGGTAGTAGTACTAGTAGCAGTAGTAGTAGTAGGAGGAGGAGTAGTAGGAGTAGTAGTAGTAGTAGTAATAGGTGGTAGTGCCACGATGCAAAATCTCTCCGCGAAGCAACAGGAGAAACGTTATTATCTTGGCCATGATTCCCCCCACCCCCCACCCCACACTCCTCCTGCCGTCCGCCACGAATTCTTATTTGAATGAATGTAAAAGCCCTTTGCATCCACATGGAACGTTATTATCTTGGCCATGATTCCCCCCCGCCCCACACTCCTCCTACCCTCCACTCTGTTCAGCCATATGCTGTTGACAAACTAATTCTTACTTGAGTTTCTGAATCGGCTGCTTTGGTTTCTGAATCGGCCCGTTTGGTTTCTGAATCGGCTCATTTGGTTCCTGAATCGGACCATTTGGTTTCTGAATCGGACTGTTTTTGTTTCTGAATCGTAGTTGCTGAATCGGCCATTTTGGCTTCTGAATCGTAGCTTCTGAATCGGCTGTTTTGGTTTCTGAATCGTAGTTGCCTGATCGGTTGGTTTCTGAATCGGCTAATGACCGCACCTGGCTGACTGTGTGTGTGTGGGTGTGTGGGGGGTGGGGGGGGGGCGAATATGCTTCAGATCCATCACTTTGGGGACTGAGACACCTGGCCAAAGGGGCAGGAAGCAGCGATTCGGGACAGAGACAGAAACTATACAGAAACGCGCCTTCGAACAATGCACATGGGCAGCGGCTGTCAATCTCATAACTTCATGACCTCAACCTTAATCTACCTTCTGCTTTGAAAACAACAATGGTTACCCTCAGGAAAACACTACATCCACACTTCCCTGAGATAGACACTTCATATCAGATAGGCCGCAAATGAGCAAGAAACCATAGCCAAACCTTTGAGTGTGCTTTCTGAAAGAGATAGGCACAAAGCCAGTGATTTTAGGAAACATTAGGAAACAATAGAGACAAGTAGATTTCTCAAAAAAAATCGCCCTTTGGCAGGTGACTAGGAAAACCTCCTTTATCGAAAGTATCAGCAAAACAACACCACAACTGCCCAAAGCAAAACTGAGGTCAAAAGACAGGTTTCCACTGTTCGCAGTCAAGTAGATGGAGATAGATGTCAGCAAGCATTCAACACAAACAGCTCAAGGAAACACAAACAGCTCAAGGAGAAAGGTGCCAAAAAGAAGTCGAATTTGCCCAAAGATTCTACTGGGCCGTGACGTGGGCCATGTGGGCCATATGCTCCGTCGTTGCGGAGCTTTGCGGCTTTGCCAAGAACATGATGTTCTCGCTTGCTGTTCTTTAAAAGAAACAAACACATGCAATGGAGCTTGTATGAGCAAAGGATGTTCTGAGTCTTGTGCATCAAACTACCCATCTCATCTACCCATCCTGCAACTGCTGCAACGAACTGGACCGGACTGGCCGACCCTACCCTCGCCTTCCCAACAGTCCTGGTGTTCCTGGGCGACTCTGGCAGATGGTCGGGCAATACGGGCAGCTGGGTTTCAAACCCCCAGCCTCAACCAAAAGCAAATGGATACACTCCCTGGAACTAACATGGAAGTGGATGGCATGGCCTTTTCGATTTTGGAAGACCCATGAAGATCCACGTCACTACAGGGTGGAGAGTACCACTAGAAATGTATAGTCCGATAGTCTCCACGGAGACTTCCACGAGTCCCAACCACTTGCTTGGTCCAGGATCTGCCGGGACAACCGATACGCCTGTGTTTCTGGGCCGCGAAAACAGGTGTTTGACCACCAAAACAGGTCCAGGTCTCAGCTCGTGTCGTCACGGCACCACCGGTGGATCTGTTGGTCTTTCCAGGTCGATCTCTGTGGCTCGTTTTGGGTGACAGCATGCGAGGCTGTTTTCGGTGACAGCCCTGCGGCCTGCACTCACCGAAACTGACGAAACTGTGGTGGAGGTCCATCCGCCATTCAGTGGTGAGATGTGGAGCCATCGCAGCATTCTTCGGGTCACCAGATACATCCGGGTTACTTCTTTGAGACCCAGCAAAAGCTGGTCACCGGAGCAGAGTTGTTTGTTCTCCTACACTGAGAACCAGGAAAACTCTGTGATTGAGGAGATGAGGACATCAAACTTTTTTTTGTTTGTACAAGCACACGTCAGCTAAGAACTGTGGTCTGTTTCTGGGAGCTATAGCCATGCTGTGCCATGCTTAAACATCTTCGTGATGTGAGCCAAAGCTATGCTGAATCAACCAGTCAGAAACTTCTGGAATTACGATCAGCTCTGGTGCACACAATGCCTTGATGCCTTAGTTCGAGGACGGAGGATCATATCTTGGGGCAGCGGCAGAAGCTTCGTCCGATTCATGTGCAAGGTCCTCAACAAGCAGGTCAATTGCATCGAGGGTTTACGTTCAAATCCTCCACAAGGGCACCCTTGGAGTTCCATGATTCAACAAGACTGAGTTCGTTTCGATGTTCTTTTCGTCCTGTTCCTGCACCACATGCCGGTGGAATTCGCATGCTGTCGTTCCGCATCTGCGCACCCCACGAGGCCCGGCCCGGCCTGTAACGTTCCGCGCCGGCGCGTGACCATGGCGATCGTACGGACCCCCGCGGGGGGCTACCCGGTCGGAGGTAGATGGCGATTGTGACGAGTCCAATGAGGTGCAGGTGAAGCTGTAGCTTGGCAATGTCCGAAGCAACGGTGACATACTGCGACCCTCTTCAGGTGCCTTTGGAAGGAGCTGAATCGGAGCAGGTTGAGCCAATCTGCTGTTCCTTCGAAGGAAGGGGTTCAGCAGCACTGGTCTGCCGTGGTCGAATGCTCCGCCCATGTCGAATGCTCTCGAGCGATGTCGCTCTTTTTTGAGTCCGCCAGACGAGCGATGAGCTGACTGGGAAGGAAAAAATACACGCCTTGAGCGGCTCTTCCCGCATCAGCTCCAATCGTCACTACTATGTACTTCAATATGGAGAGCTCTGGTGGCCACTAGAAAGGGATGGATCGAAATCAAGAACCCCCAAATGATGGTTGGAAGTGCTTCATCCCTGCCCCCAACAAATCCAACAAATAACTGGTCTCCACCGACCCAAATAACATATCAACATGGCTTCACAGTCCATCCATTCGACATCATCCGACCGATCCGACCCAGTCGTCTTCCTGAAAAAAAAGGCGGGGCGAAGTCCTGGTGTCTGCCCAGTGGGTCTTCCACGCCGCAGACTGCGACGCAATGTGCTCGTCCTGGTCGTCAGGCTGCCCGGTGCACCGGTAGATGCCTACTATCAGGCCCTCTCACTGAGAGCAAATGTTGCCTGAGACAGATGCGTAGCTTGGAGCAATCCATGCTTTTGGTTCAATGGAACAATGCTACGACATGATGATCCGACAAAGAAGCGCTCAGCTTGTATACTTGAGGCCAGGGGGAGAGGTCGAAAGCTAGCCGAATCGCACCGGATGTACTAGTTACATAGTCGGCAAAGCATGTAGGGATTAATTACATGTTTTGGGAGGAAGGTTGCTATGCACATACTTTGCGCTAAAGAATGTAAATGTGACATCGCTGACTGGGAAGGGTACATTGGAACAACCCGGGTGCACTCGTTGGCAAGCACGAAGATGCGTGATCGGCAAATCTGGGGGGTAAATTTACCCTCCGCTTTTGTATGCCTTGAGTCGGAAAGAGGGGTAAGCATTTCTGACATCATACGGACTGTACATACACTAGGGCGTCCGTAGTGTAGGAGAAGCACGGGTAAAAGGTATATGGAATAGAGTGTCTTGAGGAAATAGCCGGTGTATGGTTATTGCAAATCTGGGGGGTAAATTTACCCCCCGCTTATGTATGCCTTGTGCTGGAAAGAGGGGTAAGCATATCTGGCATCACAAGGACTGTGCATACACTAGGGCGTCCGTAGTGTAGGAGAAGCACTGGTAAAAGGTATAAGGAGTAGAGTGTCTTGAGGAAATAGCCGGCTTATGGTTATTGCAAATCTGGGGGGTAAATTTACCCCCCGCTTATGTATGCCTTGAGCCGGAACGAGGGGTAAGCATCACAAGGACTGTGCATACACTAGGGCGTCCGTAGTGTAGGATAAGCACTGGTAAAAGGTATCAAGAATAGAGTGTCTTGAGGAAATAGCCGGTGTATGGTTATAGCAAGCCTGGGGGGTAAATTTACCACCCGCTTATGCATGCCTTGTGCTGGAAATAGGGGTAAACAACTTGTAACGGTGAAGTACAAGTCCTATGCAGCAAGCAGCAGCCAGCAGCAGCAGCAGCCAGCAGCAACCACCAACCAGCAGCCAGCCAGCAGCACCACGCAGCAGCAGCGCAGCATCAAGCCGCAGCAGCAGCAGCAGCACCACCGGCAGCAAGCACCACCGGCAGCAAGCAGCAAACAGCAGCAGCAAGCAGCAAGCAGCAGTAGCAGCGGCGTCGTCAGCAACAGCAGCAGCAGCAGCACCAAGCCGCAACAAGTAGCAAAGCAGCAGCTACAAAAGCGGCAACCAGCGGCAGCAGCAAACAGCAGCAGCAAGCAGCAGAGCGGCAGCAGCAGCAGCACCCTTTACACCAAGCCACCGTTTACACCCAACCAACCACGTTCACACGTTCAACCAACCCCCTACACGGCGCAGCTGGGAGTTGAACCGCGGGGGGGGGGTTAGCTTGATATATCAATCTTTAAGGCACGCAGCCCCTCCCACCACAACATTGCTAAAGCAAAGAAGAACTCAGCTAGCATGCTAGCTTTCGTGACAAACTGAAATGCTTTGCGAAAAAGGAAAGAACAAGCTGGTGAAATTAGACGAAGTGAACAAAAGGGCATCCTGCGGGTGAAGGAATATATAGTGTCCAATTGGCCATTTTGCTCTTCCATGTCTGTCCGTCAGTTAATATATACAAGGTGCGGTTACCTCAGAATATCTGAGACGTATTCATCTGCACACCGAACCGCTTGGGGGGCCAAACAAGCTGCATCCACTGACAACGCACTTTGAGATAGGCCTAAGAAGGCCGCGGTCGGTGCGGTCCGACTGGCATCTTGACCAATCAGTGAGGGCCTGGGCGGGGTTTTATGAAGTTCGATGGGTCCAATTACGAACATGTACAAAGATGTCTTCTACCCTAGGCCTCCAAGTACCTTCTGAGAAGGTGGGACTGGGGTGGGTGCCAGGAGGGTCCAGTCATACCTTCGGAGGTACTAAGCAGTCGGTGTAGGGCTAGATTCCGCCACGACTCCGGCAGTCTGGGAGACAGACTCACTGTGTCACCAATCTCATGAACTTCCAGAACTCATGAACTGCTTCTCTTTTTTGGTGAAGCGTTTTGTTCCAGACCGCGGCTCGGTTCCCGAGCGGACATTGATCAGCGGTTCCGGCTCGCCCTGCGCGAACCGCGAGGAGCTGTGTTTCTGTGTTGGGGTGAGGAGCGAGTGGAGCGAGTGCCGGTGTTGGAGCGAGTGGATGAAACAAATATCTGAGATGTCCAAGTCCAGCAACCCCTGACTTTTACTAAAACATCTGACGATATCGAACGATATCTAATCACGAGGTTTTTGACCTTGCTCAACTGATTGAGACGGATGGCTTAGAAGCTCTCCTTTTAGAGACCAATCCTTCCTCCAAAAATTGGTTCTTGCTTGGATCAACGACCAGTCACCGAGGAAACGGTCTTCACACCGCGGCACAGGAGGCGCGACTCGCGGTTGCGACCCGCAGCCGCTGCGCGTCCCGGCCGCCAGCCGTTTGTTGGCGCACTGCGTGAGGCTCTGGAAAAGCCTGGTGCCACCGAAGGGTGCGGTGGATTCGGGTGAGGAGGCGGTGATCGACGGGAGCCGTCAGGATTGGTGGGTTTCGGATGGTGGACCGGTGCGAGCAGTCTCTTGGCGCACAAGTCTTGAGGACAATCTTCAGTGGCGACTGCTTCGATGGGCCATGAGAGGTGGTTCGGAACCAGTCCTTCTAAGAAGCCACCAAGAAAGGTAGGTGCAATGAGGATGATGCTGGCAAGAAAATGCAAGAAAGTTCCACCTTTAGGCAAGTGGGTCGTGATAGGATTAATTTGATATGTTATACTGAAGTGTTGGATGTCAAATGCTGATGGAAATGATGCTGAGGAATTAGATTTCAGAACGACCAGTGCCAGCAGCTCCAGCGGTTCCACCAGCATGAGCAAGCTCACCATCATTGTTATCAACTTCATCATAGCCCTTTTGTAGGGGGCCAGGTTCACCCCACCATCTTACACGTCTCAATACTCCAAGTTCTCCAAGCATTGGCCTGGTTCCAGTCGATCCAGATCCAGCGGCTGCCACCTCAGCTGCGCCCTCTCAGGCTGTCAGCAACACCCGACAGCGACCTCCACAGCGAAGAGTCCGCGCAGAGTCCGCGCAGAGTGACTGAGAGGCCAACTAAAGCTTCTTCGAAGCTGAACATGCTGTGCATCTCTTTCGACCTAGGCTAGGGTCAAACATGAACACCATTCCACAACCATGAGGCTGAAATAAGCAAGAATCGAGACTCGAAGCGGTCATCCCTGCTTGCACCTTTCAGTTGCGTGCCATGATTTCAAACGAATCCACACTAAATGCCGAATGCAAAAACCTACTTTTGAACTACCCGGCCTAGATTCTGACATGATACGCCACTCCGGCGCCCAAACTCCCAAAACACCTTCTTCTGCCTGCCGAACCCCAAAAAAACAAATCAAATCCTGGACACGCTTCTCCAAATACTGACTTCTTCCACACAATTATATCAAATCATGGGACAACGATGAACAACGTGAGTCAATGACTTCTTTGTTACACCCCCGGTGCCCCCGGGCGTCTTCCGATGGCGGCCGGCCGCAGATCGTTCGGCCGTCGCCTGTGGGGCGGGAGAGGTCGGTTCGATTGGGGGGGCACCAAATGGAACTATCGTTTGGGTCTATATTGGTTGGGAGTGGTCATATTGGGTCTTTAATGGAACCATCGTTGGTTGGGAGTGGTCATATTGGAGTGGTCATGTCAGGAGTGGTCATATTGGTTGGGTCTATCCTATTACCTGTATCAGTGGATGATGATGGTTAGTAGAGGCCTGGTCCAAAAGTAGTGATGTTCTTGTTTACCGGCTGTTGCAGGTATTAATAGGACAAACCTAAACTGCGTATAGTGATCCCCCTGCAACTTCCCTGCCAGCCAAGCGGCACTCACTCTTACACGAAACCCTTCGGGGTCCCCAGTCATAGATAGCATTGCACGGCGTTTCACCAACAATAACATGGGGATCAACACGAACGCCCCTATCTATGACTGGGGGTCTATATAAATGAAACCAAAAGGACCTGGTAGGTGACTTATACTAGTGCCATCCTCTAAAAAACGCTTACTTCCCAATACAAATGGCGGCAGCGTGGCGGTGTGTTTTCCGACTTCAAAATTAAATACCCCCCCAAAAGACGAGAATCATCCACTGCAGAGTTCCAAGAGTCCAGTGGATTGCTGCAGGTCAAAGCACCGTTTTTGTAATCCAGGAGTCACAAAGGGGTGGTGTTTAGTCCCTAAGTGAGTGGATAATGGCCACCCTATCCTCCATTAGGCACCCCGACATGTGACTGCTGGATGTGTTAAATTCTTTGCATGTTCAAACGGTTCCTCGCAGCAGCTCCCGTCGATCTCATCGTGTGGGTGGATTCCCCGGTCTCCCGGCTTCCACATGGGTGAAACCACGAGCACGTGGAGTTCACTATACCTGCTCATCCTGAAATCCCACCCCTGAAACTCCCCTCCACGCGACCACGGAAGACCACGAGTTGTGTGAAACCAGGGAGACACGTCAACTCCCAGAAACTCCTCGGCTCCCCCGTGGCGCACCGGGCCGGGCGCACTCTAGCCTCTTAGCACTGCCCCTTGGCGACCGGGACCGGAGCCTCTCGACCGACCCCCGTGGCCTCTAGAAGTTTCACACGCAAAGTGAAGCCCAAGCCTGGTGAAGACAGTGCTACAGGGCGGACAGGGCGGGAGTCCAGGGCGAACCTCTTTTTGAGTGTCCTTCCTTCTGTAGCTATAATATTAATACAAATTATAATGTACTGTATATCCTTCGAAATCACTGGAAATTCCTGCCTTCTGACAGAAAATCCTTAAGTTAGGGAACTGCTGTCAGGAGGAATTCAAGTGAATCTTCTGGGTGTTGCCAACTTTTAGGTGGATGAACTGTGCCTGACTGACTGCTACCAGAACCCTGCCTCCTTCAAGGAAGTCTCCTCTGGAACAAATACCTTCATGCAAAGTGAAGCAATTGGAGCCACTGCGCAATAGAGGAATCTCAAATTCAAAAATGCTTTTTTTCAGGCTCCGCTATGCGCCTCTGTGATCATGGAAGTTCGACTTAAGCAAATATATCGCATCATGTGCCACTTTTCCTTCGTCGTCTTTTTTTTTCCCGCATGGTCTAATGGCTGCTGGAGCCCAGTCGGTGATCTGTACGGTTTTGCGTCTGACAAACCTCTGCACACCAACGTCTGCACGTCGTATGCACCTTCGGATTGGTCTCAAGGGAGATGGCGTTGAGACCATCAGATCAATCCTGGAAGTTCTGCCCAAACCATATTCATTTACAGTCAAACAATGCAAGAACAGGCCAATGGTATTATAATTATAAGATTATATTTGTATTACTAATAAGTATATATATATATATAAATAGTATAATATGCAGAGAGACAGAGAGGTAGAGAGACCCAATCCCCTCACCTCATTTTCAAGAGGTGGAGGCGGCGCATGTCGAGGCACAAATTGGGCTCTCAGGTGATGCATCGTGAACTGCTTTACAGTCCAACATCAGCTGATCTCAATCGAAAAGCTTTTTCATCTTTTTCTCCTCAGCACGAGCAAGGCACAAGCGAGACTTGAACCATGCCCCATTGTTAATGAACTTGCACTTGAGCTCGCCAGGTACTTTGGCCTCATAGACTCCACTGACCACTCCGGCTGTGGCCTCCAGCATCCCTTCCGACTTGGCCACCAGTTCTGGCTCGGAACCTGAACCCGCATAACCTGCGTTGGAACCTTCTGCAATGAAGTGGAGCTCGTAGGAGATATCCCAATAGCAAACGCGTAGCTCCCATTCAATGGAGCAAGGTTTGGAGACTTTCATCAAAGGCACTTCCTCTGTGCAACGAGCTCTTACTGTGAGAGATTTGCAGGGCCCAGAAAGTCCATTGGTTCCAAGCATGCCACCAATGGCCTCAGGAACTACTTCTGGTGCTATGAATTTGAAGAGCTGTTCCTGATCCCTCTCACCGAGAATCTGAAACTTCTTCAGGGTCCGCTCGGGGATGAAGACTGAAAAGGCTTTCCACATTGAGGCAAAGGCGTTTGGGAAGTTCACAAAAATCGTGACACCCTTGGTCTCGGGATAGTGCTCAGCAAAGACTTTGGTCACTGCAGAGACTGCACCCTTGACCTGAGAAGTTTGGAACAGCAGGGGAACTCCTGAGTAGTCATGGACCTGAGTTAAATCTTCAGGTTCTCCTTTCTTGAAAGACAGTTTGGAGATGGCCATTTCCATCAGCTTTGCTCGATATCTCACAAAAGCCTCCACGTCACCAAAGACTTCTTCCAAGTTCATCTTCCCAAATCGGCTGATCATCACCGGCCTCCCTTCCACGTCATAGCCACTGATGACATCATGACCCTGGTAACACTTTGGGAGCTCTGCATCCTTCAATGCATCGATCTGACAGTCGGCACGAAAAACCAAGGTCTCAACGATTCGCTCAGCGGCCTTCGCCACATCAAGCTCTTCAGCTCGAATGTATTTCAGGAGTACCTGACTTCAACGTGTCATTGAGCTGCAAAGCACAGCTGCGTCTCAAAAAGCCTTCTTTTTACGAAGCGGGCAACAAAGTTCAACGTTCTTCGCCCCAAAACGTTTCATAACAAACAACGAGTACTGTACTGTATGTCATAGTATGTTTCTCAAAATCATGAGAAAATCATGATCAGGTACAATATCCGAAGCTTCAGTCTCCTTCTCCAGCTCCACTCCCCAAATGCTCAGCGTCTTCATCGCCTTCGCCTCCTCCGACTGCTCCTTGGCTCGTTGGATCAACTGTGGCAGCTGGCCACGCAGCTCGGACAGCTTGCCACGCTCGGAGTCGCCCAGGTTCTGCAAGTAGCACTTCGACAAATCCGCCATGGCGACCGGCAGACCCGGTGGAGAGACCGGACGTCACGCGACCGGACACGTCACCGACACGTCAACAGGGGTGTTGTGCGAGAACGGATCTGAGTGACAGTGTGTATTGATGAAGAAGCTGTACACTCGGGTGGTTTGATTGATCTCGGAGCTGCGACAAATGAGAAGGCACCGAATAGTTTCAAGATGTGCCAAAACATATCGTATATCCAATATCCTTGAAGACACGCAATATCCTGAAACGCCACCAATTTAGGGATCTAACATGTCCGACCCATCAGTTTCATGCTGCAATATATTGCAATGTGCAGCATAAGGAATCGACGCATTCATGCAGAGGAAATTGAGATGCATTGAGCCTCACCTTCTCTCAAGTTCCATGGATCTGCATGCGCTTGAGCAAGATGGTCTCGATTCTTCTGTCCTGCGCGACGATCATCGACGACGACGGATGACACATGTCTAATGTCCATTCCCGGCCAAGAAATTCCTCATCTAAATCCCTGCAAAATCGTTGGGTTGATCAAAATTCCTTCAGAATTGCTATTCTTCGCGCACAACGGATCTCTCTGTGTGTGTCTCTCTCTCTCTCTCTCTCTCTTATCTTATATAAATATATAGGGAGACCTCCAAAGACCCCGCTGGAAGCAGGAAAATTGGATAAACACACACAAAAAAAAACATTTGGTTGGGTATGGTTGGTTGTCTCCCTAAGAAGATCTATTAAGATACACCCGGCCCATAATTAGATCAGAGAGAGAGAGAGGGAGAGTGATCAACTCTCAAATGAATCACCGAACCATCCGCCAAGATCGCCTCAAGACCCCCCCCCCCGTCGACGTGCCGACGATAGAAGACCCATGGGGAAGTCCTGACTTCGGACTGTCTGGCTCTTCATCGGGCACATGGCTTGGAGTGACAACCTGAGGAAAAACACAACGATGCCAAACAATCCATCAACATTCAGCCCTGACTTGGGATATGCTGAAACTTGCAAATTCAGCATGCGAGGTGAAATTCAGCTCGAGATCCAACAGGTTTGTGTCCGGTTGTGGTTGGCTTAAGAAAACGTGGCGAAGTCTTCAGGTGCCACGTGTTCGCGTTTTGCTTCCTGGGTGCTTGGACTCTCGATCGAGGAGTTACTGGCTTTGCCAGGGCTTCCTGGGTGCTCGGAGACTCGAATCTCTGGTCACTCTGATTCTCTGGGCATCGCGACTCGAACGGAGCAAGGACGCTACGAACAGGGGCTCCTGGCCTTACTACTAGGAACAAGTAGCTACTAGAAGCTTTTTCTGGAGTTCTGGAGAAGCCTTTTTCCTTCGATCCATCCAACATCTTGCGGGGCGTGTAGAAAAGAGTCGCTCTCCATCACCATCTCCCCCGGACCCTGTCTCCACCCGAAATCAGACCTCGGACACCGTAAGGACTGAGAATGGACGCTGGCTGCAGGCCTCGCCTCTGTGGTCTTCCTCCAAATTTCTTGCACCAAATCCAGGCATTTCAAGTCTGGGAGCCTTCCTGAGATCAGCCAACGCCGCAAATTCCGCTGTTGCTGATACACAGACTGTTGAATGGAACGTTTGATCGAATCTTAACACATCTTAATGCGCCCCATGTTTTCATATCACGTAGCGCGATAGGGATGCTTGCTCACAGTTTTATGCCACAGCTCTCAAGAAAAAAAACATCCGACCGGAACACCCGACCGCCCGACCTTCGAACTCACGAGCAATCGCACGTGTGATTTGACCACGGGTCAAGAAGCCCACCTGTCCCGTGCGGTCGCGAGCGCGAGTCGTGTTGTCGCGCGCGCAAGTCATGCGGTGCGAGTCAAAAGCTTCTTGCAAACTGTGGCGAGGTATAGAGGCATCGCAAAAAGCTTCTTTGGAATTTGGAACTGTGTTTATAGCGTACTGGAGAAACATGGCGATCAACAGACCCAAACGCTCCATGGGACTAGAAGATTTACTTTACAGTGACCCTGGGTCAACCACACCAATGTAGCCAGGTCAATATGCCAGCCCCATGGCGTGTTATACACCTGACTATCCACCGGAACCGTGCCTGACTCCAATCCCAGAAGTCAAACCACCTGCCAGCGACAGTTGAAATTTGAAAGAATTCCTGGTGCGGTGCAGTCGAACATGCCCAGCACCCAGGGCGCAGGACTAGCCATGAACCGGGGGATAGACAGTTCAGCAAAAAACCTGTCCCAAACAATCCCAAACACTCCATGTATGGCATATCTACATATATTTACCTATACATTCACCTCTGAAACCATCTCAATGTAGATACATATATGCCAGCTCCATGGACTTGGTTTGAGTCTCTTCCGATTTGGTTTGGTCTGCATGAGCTTCCAAACTTGCCCAGCGCTTCCAAACTTGCAGCAGCTGCCAAGCCTGACACAATGAATGGGTCTGCAGGGCTTGTATGACCAATTTGCTGAACCTACAAAGTAACCTGCAACTCCGAGAAAGCTCTGGGAATGGGTTCCGTATGCAAGTTCAGCATCGTCCTCTTGATTCTCAAACGCTAAGCGAGAATAGCAACCAAGTCTGTGCAGCCTACTCATGCCTACTCAATGTCGTGAAAGAATCGAACTCGAAGCGAACCAATCGCTTGACACAGGATGTAAAGAGGCCACAGTTGGGGCGTTTCAATTGCAGGAAAACGGCCCTGTCATATACAGTGCAAAACATGTCAACCTCGATCTAGATCCGCTCTGGTGTCATTTCTTGGAAGGATGAAATTATGATGAATTACTATAACATTCGACCTGTAAACAGTTAAACAAGATTGGTACGAGTCTGAATCATCATGTTTCCAATCCAATCCAGTGATGCATCATGCACCGGATCACACCGGATCAGCATGCATCCATGAATGATGCTAAGGTCTCCACATGGAAACGGGCGTTGGCCACGGTGAAAGAGTTTGAGTCTGGCTAAGATCCAAACCTCAGCCGCGGGATGTGGCAAACACGTCATCCAAAAGTGTGGGGCCCAAAAACTGAACGCACAAAAGAAATAGAAATATTAAATATACATCATATACCATACTTTATATTGTATAATTGCATATATGTATATATGTATTATACAATATATACACACTCTGATCCTCCCAACTGGACCAACCTGCTGCTCTCAATCTGTTTCGTGGCTTTGCATGATTGGCACCCACTTTCTTCCATTCTGAGGCGGATGGCCAACAAGCCTCCTTCAGGATCCTGGTTTTTGGGTCTTTCACGGAGAAACGGGATTGAGACTATTGGGGCGTGGCACCTAAGACTCGTCGTTGGGGACCCCCCCAAAATGAATGAAATGAACCTTCCCCCAAGTCTGATTAGTCCTTGACCTGTGGCCATTCATATGATATGTGGAGAGGAAACGAACCAAATCCAGTGCCATGACAACCCCTCCGCGTGTTTTCGCTGTGCAGTACCATCACCCTCAGCACACACCGATTTCAATCTCCTCAAAGGCTTGGCGAGTGATTCGTCCAGTGCCTCCAAACCAAATCAAGGCGAGGTTGTGGTTCAAGGCTTTTGGGGCGCTTAGAAACCCCTGTTTCGTATTTGGTGTTTTCTACGGTTTTGGTGTTTTCTAGATGGATCCCGGATAAACATGTTCAGACTCACAAGCGTACAATGGACCAGCTGGATTTCATTAGGGTCGAGGTCCAAAACGGTGGGAGAAACAACAAACCAACAGCCCCGAACAACTGGCATCAAAATCAGCCTGCTATGTGAACTGCTGGACACTGTTTACAGCCTGCTAGGTTAACTGCTGGGCAATGGCACCATCGCAAGTTCACCAACAAGTGTCGCGTTTTTTGCCCAAAAGTGCTGTCTTCAGAAGTGTGAACCTTTTCAACCTGCCACGCGAGCACATCAACATGACCCGACTGCAGCATCTCAGCGTGAAAACAGTACCACTTAAGCATGCCGACACGTTGGGGTGACCCATGCCAATGCGCAGGCATGATAACATGCTGACACACACGAGCATCCCAGCGTGACAACACAAGTCATGTCAGCATATTGGCAATGCAGCGGGTCAGAAGATAGACACAGCGTATCCGCAAAGTGCTCCGGAAGTTGCTCCGGAACGTCCATCAGAACCTGCTCCAGAAACCCTGGAACCTCCTCTGCAACCTCCTCCAGAGCCTGCTGCGGCACCTGCATGAACTCGCTTTGGAACCCTCCAAAACTTGCTCTGGAAATTGCTCCGGAACCTGCTCCGGAACTTGCTCCGGAACCCCCCTCCGGAACTTGCTCTGCTGGACCAGAACCTGCGAAGTCTCTACTACGATGGCTGAAGACCCCCTAAGCTTCGCTGTTGGAGAAACAAAAAACCTCGCCACAGCCTTAGTTCATCTAATTCTGCCGCGAAAGCGGCCGGGAAGCAAACAGTGAATGTGGGGATTCCAATAACAACATCTCGACTGTTCAAGATGGCTTGATCGTTCGCCTGCTTTGTCCCATTGTCGCCATAGGGCAGAGGAAGGCAGCGTGGGCAAAGGAGGTGTTTCAGCCTTCTCCTCGACCTCGAGAGCTTCGACATGGAGGCAGTAAGCGTTACACAAGAATAGCTGAAAGCAAACATAGCACCTGGACCTGGAGCCTCTTAGAAAAAAAAAAAGAACTCATCCACACACAGGAGGAAGAAAAGAAAACAAGCGCTGATTGCAGCACCTCATCATCAGGATCAGCCAACCTCTCCTCAATAATTTCCACTTCGCCTCACATGGGTGTTCTTTCAAACCAAAAGAGCGATCTCTGCGACAGGGGAGGCCTCTGATGTGGGAAGGAGGGTGGAAGGGTGGCTCCCACCACTTGGCCTTCGCTTGCAACGGTCTGGTTCAGCACTGATTCAGCTGGAGCCTCAAGGAAGGAAGACTCTTTGCCACAATCATACTGAAATGCTTGCACACAACAAAGGATTAGTATGAGCATATTGAAGCAGGAAGTTGAACTGTGTCTTTCACATTTC